GAGATTACCAAGGTTGTATGGGATTCCAGATCAAAATTCAGTAGAAGCCAGAATAGGTAAGTAGTACCTTACACAAGCATTCACAATTGATCTTGGCAATGACTTGTCCCCAGTAGCTCACCACAGATGCAAAAGGGCCTCACTGAACTTGGCACAGCAGGGAGTTTCCCCTCACCCCTATCCTCTACAAGAAAGCAGGAGTGCAATATATTGTATTTAAGATCAGGCTGTGAGGGAGACCTGGTGAAGTGCTTGAAGAGCCTCTGCTGACCGATCAGACTCCTACCACTGTCTACAGAGAGGGGACCTAAGGCTTTATGAAGGTAAATGTATAGGGAGGATGGTGGTTGTGTTTGATTGGACTAGGCTCTCCGGGATTCATGTTTTAGCAAACATTAGGTTGAGGGACCCAAACTTTGCCTGGATGACATTGTGAATCTGCAAGGACTTGTTCAAGGTGGTAGGGCTCCTGGACTGCTCTAGCACATATGAAGGTGGGTGGAGACATCTGCTTGCTCTACTCTGTTCCTGTAACCAGTTTACCAAGTTATTCATCTGACAAGAAAAATTTAGACATTTTACGTATTAAATAGTGGAGGAAAGGGTTGGCACACGTGTCAAGATTAATATTGCAGCCTCAGTGAGCATTGGGGAGATTTTCCACAACATCCTGCCGAGGAGAAACCAGTTACCAGGACAGGAAGTAAGGGGGGAGTCTTCCCAATATGGACACCCAGCAATTAAATGCAACCAATTCCTCTTCTTCACTTTGCTTTTTAAGGCTAAAATGTTTTGCCTGAATTTCCAATTTAAAGTGCAAATCTGCCCATCCAGATTTTCTCCTGAGCAATAGATTCATATATTGGACACTTGGCTATAGTCTAATGTTTATCTCCACCTAACACCAAGTTGTAAAATGGATGTGATCCCCACTCTGTCCTCAGGAGTAGTGATGGGCTCGGGCGTGTTCGCAGCTCCACACGCTGAGCCCGCCAGGAAGCTGACAGCGCCAAATCAGTTACCGAGACATTATCCAGCTGCAGAGATTGGGAAATGTCTCCGTGCCTGTGATTGGCGCTGTCAGCTTCCTGGCGGGCTCGGCACATGGAGCTGCGAACTCGCCCATCACTACTCAGGAGCTCTCTTCATACACCATCCATCCTAGTCAATTTACAAATGAAGGTTTCCAGCTATTACAAATCATCCGTGCAGTTATCATGCTCAAAACTTTGTTTCATATGAACAGATACAAGCATTGTGGATAACTGGTCATTTATGGCCAATCTTGATGTGCTTCAAAACCCAAGGACATCCGTCACCTAGTAGACTATCTGAATTAGAAGCTTCTGCTAGAAGCTGCTATTCTCAGATTCCCAGGCTGTACACAAGCTCCGAGACTGCAAAGCTGGACTTATTTACCGGTATTTTGAGTTAAACAGTCCTGGAACTAGATGCAGCCTGTAAGTCAGAATAGCAGATTCTAGCAGATGCCTCTAGGAGGAGAGGTATTCCAATTCTTAAAATGAACTGGTGCTCTAAGGTGGGGAAGTTAAAAGTTTGCTGGTGGAGGGGACAGACTTGGTGGCTCTGGGAATAGGGTTCCTGCAACTAATTTTCTCCCACGCATGTTCACAGGTGCTTAGCGATTGGTTATTTAGCACTATCACATGGTGGCAGGAGAGAGCCTTTAAACACCTCCCCCCCAAGTCACTAACTCCTTCGTGCTACTGGTAATTTGGTGGGAGGGTCTCAGCATTGAGTTCCCATAAATCCTCTATTGTACACAACACAGAATACTGCTCAGGAAAGTATGCATCTTGGACCCGGGATCGTTACTTTTGTTTAGGGCAGGGGTAAGCAAACTCCAACCCACCAACTCTGGTGAAACTAAAAATCCCATCATGCATCTGCTTCTAGGGAGTCATATCTGTGGCTGCAAGAGTCTTCCAATGCCTGATAAGAGTTGTAGTTGCACCACAGCTGGAATTTGCCTACCTCTGGTGTAGGGGGTATGCAGGAAAACCACACTATGTGAAAGTGCAATTACCTTGTAAAGCAACCAAAAAAAAGCTGAAAGTACAATAACTTAGAATGAAAATACTCAGCTTTAGCAGTTTAGAAAACAAATTGTGCACTAAGGTAGCCCCACAACTGCAGACAATTCAGCTTTAAGTACAAACAATCAGCAATTACAACCCCAGCATCCCACAATACACAGGGTGTACTGCAAAAGTGTCCAGCATTGGATGCCCTGTAGGCGGGCCAGAGCTTGTACTCCAAACAGAAATCACAGCACATTTACAAAATGGCACATACATTTAGGGGTTCCTCCAGTGCATGGAGGGGAGTTTCCTGGTTGAGTTTAATATAAAGAAGACGTCTTCCTCATATGGTTTCGGGGTTCCTCCAGTGCACAAGAGATGGCTTCCTGATGGGTTTTAGGGGGTTCTTCCACTGCACAGAAGACAGCTCCCTGATGTGGTTTAGGGGTTACTCCAGTGAGCAGAAGACAGTTCCCTGATGAAGTTTAAAAGGTTCCTCAAGTACACAGGAGACTGCTTCCGGATGTAGGTTATGACATGACAGGTTTGCTTTAAAACCCCTTCTGGAATGGTTATAGATCTGCTTTAACACGGATTTCACACTTTCAGACAAAACTTCTAGGCAATTATTGGCAATACAAAAAGGGTGAACAAAGTCCTGAGAAGATCCAGCAATCCCCATATTCAGAGTCTGTTAACAGAGAAATACATTTTATACGTCCCAAATGTTTAATTGTTGTCTGTACTCTTTAATCCATTTCTTCATGTACGCCACTTCCAGGGCTCGTGCCTCGATTACAGACTTGGGGTCATAGGCGTTATTAGAGCGCAAGTCAAGATGGTGAGCTCCATCTGGTATAAGAATGGCGACCAGCGACTCACTGAGGCTCTGCTTGACTCCGCCAGCCGACCACGGGTCCAGATCACCATTACTGGAAAAGAATTACACATTTAGCAGAGAGTTCCTAAAAATTACATAGAACCAGCCTATCAAGAACTTTAATGTACAATATACTGTGAGAGCCTTAACCCCAATTAGATGGCTGGCTGTGGAGTGTTCACTTTTGGCTCATGGCTAGATTTTGTCTAAATCCCCACAGGAAAGAGTGTTGTCAGAGACCAGTTTCAACCCATGCTGATGGCTACCCACTGTAGAGCTAGACTTGACACTCGAGACCAGATAATATTTTGCTTCTGGCCATACAGGACATCGAGAAATGTAGGACACCAAAGATGATTGGCCACAGTTCTCCTTTAACCTGATGTCCGGCCGTTGTAATTAAACAGCCAGACGGCGGTTTCTTGAATGCGTGTGGGCGTTTTTAAATGTCCCGTCCCGCTCGTGCCAGACGCTAGGCGGAGCGCACGAGTGGGAAATCAGCCTGCAATGTAAGCAGCCGGCGATGGCTGTTTACATACAAGCGTCTGTATGTGGGCGGATGTGCGCCCCCCCCCGCCCTCCACCGCAGCTCTGCGGCCGGAGATCAAATGGAGCTCAGTACACGAGCTCCATTTGATCTCCTCCTCCTGACTGAAGGCAGTGATGTGTATTACATCACTTCCTGCATTCAGTGTCACTCTCCGGTACAGGAACCAGAGAAAAGCTGGTGAAGCAGGTGTTTGCTTCATCAGCTTCTCTGGGGGTCCCTAGGTGACATTAGGGGTCTTAGAGACATGTCACATATGAAAAAGGTAATGAAAGAAATGTAAACATTTTTTTAAGTCCCCCGCCCCCCACATACACATGCAAACAAAGTACCGCAGCGCTGAACACTGAAAAATGGCCGGGACAGGAAGGGGGTGTAAACACCGCGGTCAGCAAGTGGTTAAGAATAAGAAATACCCCAACTATTGCTCATGGTAGCTGCCAACAATAAACCCTCTGCCCACAACAGAAGCAAGGTGAACAAAAACAGTATTGTCTTCAAAATCATTCTATGGCTGAATGAACAATTGGCCTTGAGTGAAAAACACCAAATTGGACATTGCAGCTGTGTATTGGGACTTAACAAAAAGTATTACAAGAAACATTTTCTGTTGTGCCCATCAGTGTAGTGACTGTATTGGTTGACAGCAACCGCACAACCCCCCCCCCCTCTATCTGACCACACTGCTCAGTAGGACATTGCAAGGGGGGATTGTGAGTAGCAGTACAGAGATGGAGGTATATATGTATATGTGTGAAGATTTGATGTAACATTCTTATTTCGTTATCCTGTACAGCATAGGATGATAAGCCAAGGAGAAAGAAGTGTTGGCTACAGTGCTGTGCTGCAGCTCCCGTAAAGGAGCGCCCATAAATTGGGCTACAGCCTGGGGTGGAGCTGACAATCAGCAAAAACAAAACAAAAAACCCAAATGATTAGATAATGTGGCCACTGATCAAAATGGGACCAAGTGCTAAAAGGACTTGGTCTCTTGGGGGATTCAACAAAGATTTCTTAAGTACGGCAGAACCCATTATAACCTTGTATGGTTATACTGTCTCGTTGGGTCCTACACCATAGAAGCTATATAGTATCTATACACTGCACTAATGACAACCAAATAGCCTGAGCCAGCTGTATTCAGGTTGGAATGAATGGCTCTCTAATATTAGGCCGTATTTGCACTATATGCAGGCAGCTCTGGATGCGCTTATGTCTGGGGAATAAAAGGAATGATTTGCATGGCAATGCCCTGAAACGAGGAATCTTCTATTTTTGGAATATAATATATGATGGAAGACGACATGTGAATGCCTTCCGTTTTAAGGCGGCTTTACTTTGCTATACATTTCCTGTTATTGCAGACTGGACCACCAGATGGCGCCCCCATACAGAAAAGGCAGATTTCAGTTTTCATACCCTAGATGGCGCTCTTTAAGCACCACTCCACCTATATGCATTAATATATCTCTACCTGAAGATGATGTTGCTGGCAGAACTGATGTTCTTCCCACCGTAGATGGTCGTTATCCATGTTTCGCGAGGTCGCACTCCCCACTGTTTGTAGCAGTCATCCGAGTAGGCTTCGAAATTCCACTTTTGGGGCTCAAACATGTCATTGACCCCATCAGGGCAAAACGGCATCACCATCTCTGTGCAGGCCTGGAGTAACAATTCATTATTACATCATTGTTCCATTAAGATCAGTTTTCATTTAAAGGAAAAAGCGATATGATAAATACAGGGTGACGGTTAGAAATTTACAGAAAATGCTAGCTGCCTGGCTTAAAGCTGAACTCTAAGCAGGCGTATAAAAAACCACAAACAAAAAAATAATGCTGCTCTGTAATCATTAAACATATTGAATACAAGTAGTCCAGTATCTACATTTTACCTAGTATGAGAAGTTCCTGTACAGCAGGGCTCAAGTGTGAGAGGAAAAGACAGCACAAGAGCCAATCAGTTCGTAGTGCCGACATGGAGCATGCCGATAGGAGGAGAAAGTAGAGTGACAGATGAGCTCATCACTGTGCAACTCATTTCACTGTCCAGTAACTGGCAGGGGGCGGTGGCAGGATGACCTGGGCCCAGAGTTAGTGGCTTGAATGATGCTGGCCATCAGACCGACGACATCTAGTGGCCAACAAAAAATACAAGTACTGCAGGGGACAGCAAAAGCTGCTTTCTCTCTTTTTTTTTTAGTCAGTCACTGGCCTGAAAGACTTAACTTGCTGAATGAATCCTGTGCCGAGTAACCCTGGCTTTAGAAGGGGGGTGACCTAGAGGGGCTGCCGTTGCTGACCACCTTGGATGATCATACCAAGCTGGAGACATGGTGCTGAACACAGCTGAGATTTTCTTTCGGTATCTTTAAGGGTATGTAGCCGACCATCATTTGGTGCATTACACTGAAGCAGGCATGATGGATACTTCACTACGGCAGAAGGTCCCAGGTGGACCTTGTTGATTTCTTCATTGGGCATGTGTAAAGGTGGCCATACACTTTACAAAAGTCTTGCGAGGGTTGTAAAGTACTTAAAAAAAAACGTACGATCTGCCCATCTTGGACAGGCAGATTGTACTTGCGATCATCCCAAGCCCGCCCCCCGATGACTGCAATGAGGGGCGGGCTTGCGATGACTGCAAACGGGCAGTGTGCGCATGCACACACCGGCCCGTTCGTCAGTTGTCGAACCAGCAGGCCACTAACCCGCCGAGAGTCGTACGATTCCCGGCGGGTTTTCCAGCCTGCTTGTTCGATAGAAGACGTGTGACCGTACAGTAGAAACAGTCGCACGCCTTCCATACACTGCACGATTCTCGTACGATCGTGGGATTTCCCGCGATTCTCGTACGAGAATCGTGCAGTGTATGGGCACCTTAAGTATTGTATTACGTACAATGTATTGGCTTGTTAAATATACCATTGAGTGTTTTCCTAGATCTTTTTAAGAAGCGCATAAGAGATCTGTTTATCCTGCTAGAAATGTAATGAGCTCCTAACTTGCTGTGCTTTCTGCCTGTACTGCACTGAAACCTCAACCAGTGATATCAGTCCTGTCTAGTGCACCTTGAAATTACAGAGCCCCTTCCCCACCAGGTTATGGCTATAAAAAGATAAGTAGATGTTCTGTAGTCCCGACACTTCCTGCCCTATGGTGACAACACTAATCCTCCATAGCCACAGTACAGTGAATGAGCGTTGTCACCCTAGGGAGTCATTACTGGCAGGATCCTCAGGTCAAATGACCTTGACTTGTTATAATGTTCCAGTCTGATCATTGGAGGGAGAGGAGTCTGAGGAAATGCTTCTTCCTGCCTGCAGCAGATCGATGGCATCATCTCAGTTTAGGCCAGTGGTGGTGAACCTATTTGATATTAGGGAGCCTCTGGACTCTCATTGAAGAGCCGCATAGAATATTTAGTAAAATTTAAATGCTACAGATATGCAGTCAGCAGACTGCAGACATGCTACAGGAGATGGTTAGAGACTATTTATGACCAAACATTGTAGGAGTTGTTGGGGACTGGAGGCATACGTCAGGAGACAGTCATAGTATGGGGATACATTGCATGAGGTCACAGCTATTCCAACCTCTTTACAAATTCATGTTTTCACATTTGTGCTCCCTTAAAAATTACTTACACCACATTTGATATTTTTCTCAACAGGACCCATTATAAAACCCAACATATAAAAAAGGGATGGACAGCAAAAAATTGTAAGTTAGAGAGAAAGAGATAAAAGAACTCTGGGGCCAACCAGCAATTTACAAAGTGTAGCCCACACAATGCAGCCCCAGGTCCACAGATTGGGCATTGGCCTGGAGCTCAATGACGACTTTATAATAAAAAGGTGGGGCTATAATATTCCTCCATATTGACACGCTAGGAATGCATTAGTGCAGACTTGTAAATTTACTACAAGGTCCAAAGATACCGACCAACAGTTCTACCCTAGTGTCATCTGTCCTGTTAACTTTCCTTAGATAAACAAAGCTGGTTAAAAAAGAAAAAAAATTAGATATCTATCTATCTATCTATCTATCGATAGAGGGTTTGCTTTAAGACATATTAGAACATGAGGCCATAGATATTGGACCCTTTGTGTGGAATCTATTTTGCCCTCATACCTACAGGTGCCCATACACTGCTCGATTCTCGTACAAGAATCGCGGGAAATCCGGCGATCGTACGAGAATCGCGCAGTGTGAATGAAGACGTGCGACCGTTTCTACTGTACGGTCGCATGTCTTGTCTAGGGAGCACGCTAGAAAACCAGCCGGAAATCGTACGATTTTTGGCTGGTTTGAACGGTGCTCGGGAGACAAATGCCGAACGGGCCGTTGTGCTCACACTGCCCGTTCAGCATTGCGGTCATCGCAAGCCCGCCCCTCAGGGTGGCAGGCTTGCGATGATCGAGAGTACGATCTGCCTGTCCAAGATGGGCAGATTGTACGTTTTTTTAATTACTTTACAACCATCGCAAGACTAAGGTCTTGCGATGGTTGTAAAGTGTATGGCCGCCTTTAGACTGCTCATTGCTTCTAATATCTGCACACAGATCTCGCCTTCCGGAATAAAAGTGTTTAAATACTTTAAGCATGAGGGTTCCTGTAACATTGTGTGCTGTAGGTCATGTTTTGTGCCAGAAATCAGTAATGGCTGGGGTAAAACAGAACAGAATCTGCATATTTTTTTTATACTCAATGTAATGTATATAGTTCACCTCGGAGGGAATGCCCCAACGGAAATGGAGTTACACTTCAAATTCCAGGTTATTGGGGATTTCCATCTCTCACTTCACCTGAATTATCCCAACATCGTTTTCAACCCCCCACACACACACACCAAAACACAATATATACTTACCTTACATCTTGCAGTCTTCTGCCTTGTCATGTGTCATCATGGTCCACCACTTATGGTGGTGGCTGGTTCATAAAGCTACAGAAAACGTTGCTCACTTAATGAAGCAGCATAATTTCCTGCATCCTTTTCCAGCAAACCCCGGATGGCTTGATGATGCACCCCAACGTGTCCTATGAGGACAGCACCAGAGATGTGGCAAGTGTGTGGAGCTTTTTGGACTAGAAGAGTATAATCATTTTTTCTCAACATCCTATTATATATCCATTTTATACATGGGCACAATGTGAGGCTTTGACTATCATTTGAGGAATACGGCATTTTACAGAAGAATTTAGCATTCCATGACATGTTCTGCAACAAGGTCAATGGCATTACCTGGTAACTCCAACCGAGATCATCGAGGCTTCCCACAGCGGTCTGAGAGGTGTTGAGGCAAGGTGTCTCCCCGGTGTAGTTATAATACACATTAATTGCCTCAAAAATATTTTGCAACAATCCCTTGTCGTCAAGGTTGGGGTTTGTCAAGTGCTTACAAACTTCCTGCAAAACGACATCGAAGTGTTACAGGTATGTACATTTCAAAGTGCAGAATCTTCACTGTGCTGGCCACACCATTACTGTAGAGCTTCTAGGGGGCCATCTTTAAGCATTTATTTCCTATGATGTAAGCAATTGGGAAGGCAGCGGGATGGAGATAAGTATGGTTCTAGAAAGGGTGCAAAAAGAATGGCACTTTGTTTAAAAGCTGGCCTAAGACAAAGCAGCGGTAGATCAGCAAATCAATGAGCACTATTTTTTGAAAGCAGCGGTCATACCTATGAGGTTTAGGGGACCTTAACTGCAGCTTATGACATCACCAAAGGGAGGCACATACAGTTCAGCATATGTAATGCTAGAGAGGATGGTCAAAGACTGCCTACATAATGGTCAGACTGTGGGCATGCTACAGTTGGGGACGAGAGGCATGTGTGACATCACTATTTCTTGGTGGCTGACCCAACTCATTTGTCAGCTGAGACATGTTGCAAAAGAAAGTGAGGGACTAGGGACATGTTACAGGACATCACTGCTATTACCCCATTACAAAGCAATGCTCCCTCTACAAACTGGAGGGAGCGAGGTCCTCACAAGTAGCAAAGTGCTGCATTTGACCCTGGGGCTGCAGGTTGAGCACCAGAGATTTAAAGCAGATATGCGTTTGCCAATGCAGAGCAACGCAACAAGTTTGCTGTAATAGCCTCCTCCAAAACAATGCATGCTCACCATTCAGTCGCTCCCTCACCACTCGGTTTAGCTGCCAGAAGCAAAAAAATACCTGGTACTTCTGGGTATGGAGAAGCATGTGACATCAGTATTACTTGGTGGCTGACCAAACTCATCTGACATACGGAGCCAGTGGAAAAAGTCCTCAGCCCTGTATGAGCGCCAACTGGAGTGACTCTGCATACACAGGGATGCCTGTGGTGTGAAGATGAGGAGTCAGGAAGGCCGTGTGCAGGAAATGGCTAGCTTTGAGTAGTATTTGCACCTATTGGAGAAGGAGAGGCTGCTTATCAAAACAGGTCAAGGTTTCCCCTAAAATGGAAACTGCTCTAATGTGCCAACACTGCAAGAAACCTTAGGGGGAAGTTGTTACTTTGCTTCCTAAGCAACATACTGGTTCTTGAGCAAAGAACATTACCATTGTTAATGAGGCAATGGCTCCAGAACTAGTATATAGCCCAGTATTCAGAGAGAAAAAAAAGATTTCGTTTCAGGAAAAAAAAAAAAAAAATTAAGAAGGTAGGAATATATTACCTGAATTGGCCAAGCAGGTAATGGTTCCAAGAAATTGGCAGGGTAGGGATAGTCCACCATAGCCAGGTTTACCCAAGTTTCACTCAGCCAGCCTTTCATCGCCGTGACATCCTCCTTGCCTTTCAGTGGTGAGCACATGTGAAATGCGCTGGACAGCCATCGGATGCCATCATCTGTAAAAGGAATAATTCATTTATAACTTATCTGAAGAAAGGTCATTTCCACCATCTGAACAGGAAGATGCTGGACCCACTTACCAGTCTCGGCCATACGGTTTAAGGCGGCCCAGGACTTCGATACGCTTTCTGCGCAGCCGGAACCGCTCTTCTTAAAGTCATTTGTCACAATTTGATAATATAAGCTACAAGGAACCAAGTCCTCAAACTGCCAGATTGGAGCGGAAGCTGCCAGAGCCCTGGAAGTGGAAAGACAAGTTTTGGGTCATTACGTTTCGAGAGGGTAGAAGTTGCCAGCACTGGAGGTTCTGAGAAGTCTTAGGAAAAATAGTTGGCTATGGAAAATTCTGGAGAAGGAATACAAGGCAAAACTCAAGCACCAAGCTTCTCCCCCCACCATCAATTGTACCATTTGTATTTCTTTAGGTTCCTTCTGTCTATACACTCAGGATAATGGAAGAATGTGGCAAAGCCAACTCTCCCTCAACTAAAAGGCACTGTAATTACTGGGAAAAAAATGGGACTAGCTAACAGACAGCTAATCAAAGAGGTTAACAGAGGATCGGGACAGGCAATTCAATTGCAAAAAAATATTTATTAGAAAAATATCATTTTTAGAACAGCCATTTTTCACTAACCAACATTAAAAACATTGAAGCATGACATTCAATTGTAGATCTTCTCATAAGTTGGATCAAATAAGGTGATCTCGTTTTGTTTTACATGTATTTTAGGACCATAAAGCATTAAAGGGTAGAAAGATCATATACTTTTGGTGCATTACACCTATTGAACTCCCACCGCTGAAACCTCTACACATAGGATATCACCTGCAGGTGTAAAGCGCTGCTTGCCGTTAATTAATTGAGGCAAGAAAAGTTTCCTTGTGTTGCTGATTGTTTGTAGTTATGTAATTTTAGATTATCTTTTCCATTACTTTGGATTTTGTTGTTTAAAAAGGAGAACTATGAGGTGAGTGCTTTTCACTCACCTCATAGTTCTAGCCGACCTGTGACAATGAGACTGTCACAGGTTGGCTCAGTAGATCGGGAGGTGAGCGAACACATACCGCGTTCGCTCACCTCTCGATCCTGTCACGGCTCTCTGCCGTGACATGGGAGGGGATGGATTCCCCCCTCCGATCCGCCAGCGCTGACTGGCAGAATGGACAGGGGAGGGGGCGGGTACAGCTGGCTCTGCCTGTCAGTCACGCAGCTGGGCGGATCCCGGCATAATTGTCGGGATCCGCTGCGGCGTCTCAGCTGCGGCGTCTCGCGGTATACTGCGAGCTACAGCTCGCGGTATACTGAGCTTAGGGTGACGGGAGAACGCTAGTTTGTGTCCTCCCGTTACCCTAAGGAGAACTATGGGGAAAAGCCTTAACCCCATAGTTCTCCTATAATGTTCACAATGACAGAATGATTACATGGAATGTCTTTTCTTTTTGTCGTCCTCCAAGCATCTAGTACCGATTAATCCGTATGTGCTGTTAACCCCCTCTTAGCGGGCTTTAGTGAATTTATTTGTGGCCTGCTGTAGATAAAGGAATACAGGATCTTTCTTGCTGTGTAATCTTTTTAGACAACTTCACCAAAATTTCCACTGATTATTTCCACTGATTATATGACAATCTTCCTCTTTGTTCCCACTAGACTTTGGGTTTGAGTGAGAATACTGAATGCAAGAAATCCTTTACGGATATGTGTAATAAAACTTCACTCACGTTGCTGGAAATCCATGGGGGTCAATCCAATACGGAAGTTCTTTTGGTGTTGTCAATAATTCAGAGGGTGAAACTGCGTCCTGTTTGTATCCTTTTGGGCCATCAATTAGTACTTTTGCACTGTGGCACTACAGCAGGACAATAACTGAATGCTCTTAAGATGGCTTGCATCTTAAGAAAATTCAGTGAGTGTACCGCTCCAACACCTCTCCCCTGGAAAAAGTACTAGTTGATGGCCCAAAAGGATTCAAAAAACAGGACACAGTTTCACCCTCTGAATTATTGACAAACACCAAAGAACTTCCGTATTGGATTGACTCCGCGGACTTCCAGCAACGTGAGTGAAAAAGTTTTATTACACATATCCGTAAAGGATTTCTTGCATTCAGTATTCTCACTCAAACCCAAAGTCTAGTGGGAACAAGGTGGAAGATTGTCATACAATCAGTGGAAATTTTGGTGAAGTTGTCTAAAAAGATTACACAGCAAGAAAGATCCTGTATTCCTTTATCTACAGCAGGCCACAAATAAAATTCACTAAAGCCCGCTAAGAGGGGGTTAACAGCACATACGGATTAATCGATACTAGATGCTTGGAGGACAAAAAGAAAAAGAAATTCCATGTAATCATTCTGTCATTGTGAACATTAAAACAACAAAATCCAAAGTAACGGAAGAGATCTAAAGTTACATAACTACAAACAAACAGCAACACAAGGAAACTTTTTCTTGCCTCAATTAATTAACGGCAAACAGCGCTTTACACCTGCAGGTGATATCCTATGTGTAGAGGTTTCAGCGGTGGGAGTTCAATAGGTGTAATACACCAAAAGTATATGATCTTTCCACCCTTTAATGCTTTATGGTCCTAAAATACATGTAAAACAAACGAGATCACCTTATTTGATCCAACTGCTTATTAGAAGATCTACAATTGAATGTCATGCTTCAATGTTAGTTAGTGAAAAAATTTCTATTAAATTAATATTTTTTGCAATTGAATTGCCTGTCCCGATCCTCTGTTAACCTCTTTGATTAGTAAATGCTTTGGCTCGGTTACGGATCTGATTGACAAGCAACTTGCATTCAAAATAAAGGGTAATTTTAATGAGTCGGATCTCCAGGAAGAAACACAATTTTTATATTAAAAAAGGCACTGTAAGCCTATTTCCTCAACCTAGGTACACTCGCTGATCAGCACTCCTTTCCTATAGGATACTGGAGCTATCCCAAGGTGGACTCCAGCAGCAATTAAGTTGAAGAGCATGGATAGGAGAGTATACCTTGGTGGGGAGGGTTGTTGTTTAATAGTAGACGCGGTCTACTATTAACAATGAGCAAAGTTAGCCTATGTTTTGCCCATATCCCACATACCCATGTCCATAGTGGGCTCTGCCCACCTACCCAAGCACAGGGTGCTTGCTGGTGACAAAGGGATCTATATATTTTTATACACATATACACCATGTTCTAGATTAAAAAGCAGTCAGCAGAAAAAACAAGATATCTAAAACGCTGTGTGGTCACAATTGCCAAGAAAAACACCCACAACTGAACGCCCAGAAAAATGTGTTTGTAAAAGGAAAGACAAAAAAACCCCACTGTCAGCCGCCCGTGGTCTGGTTTCCTTCCTTAGTGACCCATCCTGACAGCTGATGAACCAAAAACAAGTTTTGTTTTAATAAATGTCGTGACTCCAGCAGCATAACGACTTATTCGTAGAGGAGGGACTATGAGAAGATCTGTATTGTTCAATACTAATAGTTTTACCCTCCATAAGGAGATCTCACCAAAGAGCAAAAGACCAGATCAAATGTAAGAAACTAAATGCAACAAAGCCCCCTATCCCTCGTTTGTATACATAAGATCTGTATTATTCTGTAAATAATATTTTTTGTTGTTTGGAGGTGATCATTTACCCCATTTTAGATTTAGCATTTTACTATTAGACTTTACAACCAAAATTATTTTTCACTGCAACATTAATGTGAAGTTAAAAATGGTTCTCCAGTTTCCCGGCAAGTATCAGTTTCCTGAGGCTTTAATGAACTGCACTGTCCATGAAGGGTCTGTACACACGGTGAACTAAAAGTGCTGAACACAAACTGCAACTGTGCTAAAGTTACTCAAGTTCACCTTAAGGCCTCATTCACCCAAGAAACGGCCGGCACGTACGGCTCTGTGATGCGTGCACGGCCCTATTGGCAGCTCCCGGGAAGGACGAGTGCTGCGTGTTATTACTACACAGCCCCTGTCCTGCTCTATGGGAATATGTGGCCGTATGCCACCCTACGCTCACTCGCCCGTGCGGGTGTCTGTGCTTGTACGCTGACAGGATGGATCCCGTCTGCGTCTGAGCCGGGACACTCGTATGGACCTGCACTTGAGATGAGCATAGGGCGGCGTACGGCCGCTTGCTCTCATAGAGAAGGACAGAGGCTGCGTATTAATCACACGCAGCGCCTGTCCTTCCCGGGAGCTGCCCGATACGGCTGTGCACGCAGCACTGAGCTGTGCGTGCCGGCCTTCTCTTGTGAATGAGGCAGGTTTGAATATGGCTGCTGTTGGAGACTTCTAAGTATAGGCCCCAACAGGATGACTATGTGAAAGACAGCAGGTAGTGTGTGTGTTAAAAAAAAAAAAAAAACAAAAAAGTTCATGGGGTCAAATTGATGATCGCTTTAGAATGTAGTGGAACAAAAAAAAAAATTGAAGGAGCAGGATGGAAAATGTCTCAATTTTCTGACGCCGCGTGTGGTTTTTATTCAGGAAACTCCATTCATTCCAAAATCGAACGAAATTTTGAACGATATTTATCAAGTCTCTGATGGCATTATCGAATGTTCTGACCAGATTTTTCTTATGAATGTTTGTATGAAAATCTACCAGTGTATGGTCAGCTTTACCATACATACATACTTTAAAAGACAACATGGTAGAAGCTGGAATTCTGTGACCTACTTGTAACCCGAGAGGCTCCACACTTACCCCACTACATCATGAGGATACTTCATTCTCATCCAGGCTGCCAGCATTCCGCCATAAGAGCCCCCGATGGCAATCACTGGGCTGTGCTTTGCGTCCCCATGCGCTTTAAAGAACCGTATAAGAACAGCAAAGTCTGCAAGAGCCTGTTCTGAGGTCAGATAATTCAAGTGTTTGGGGTCCTAAAAATAAATAAGTTAGATTTTAGGAGGGACGTTAGGGTTAGGGAAAGAGTCCCTAACCCAGAAAAACACAACAGTGACAGCATACCAAATAAAATATTGTATGCATAATGTAAGCTAATGCAATGTAGGACTCACTATGTACCCATGTCATTATAAAAAGGTGTGTTTTTTTTTTTTTACC